CCAAGCTGGACACGAGCTGATGTGCTGCCGGCGACTGAGCCCCGGGTGTCAGCGTCCACTCACAGCCACACTCGCTGCCGCGCCTGGTGGCAGTGTCTGTCGCTCACGCCTGTCATCCTTGTTTCACCTTGATTTATGAGCAGACCTGATGAGTTTTTGGAGCAGCTGTCTCCCAGGGACGGGGCAATCAATCTAGAAGATAGCTGTTGCACCCTGCTCCTCCAGCAGCCAGGGGAGGGAGGTGCAGGAACAAGAGGTGTGGTGCAGGGGTAGTGGGCTGGGCCTGTGCCCCCACCTCACGACCCCTGCAGGTCCATGGCCGCCTTCTCGCCTACTTCCCTTCCCTTTTCTCTGTCCATCCAGCAAAAGCCAGGGCATCTCTGTCCTTCCAGCAAAAGCCAGGGCAAAGGTATGCAGATTTCCTTGGAACATTCATGTTTGGAGCCAGGCCGGAACACCTCCCTTCCCTCTGCACCCTGGGAGCGGAAGGCCTGTCTCTGCTAGGGCCGGCTGGGTCGCTCTTGGGCCTCCCTAGCCCTTCCACCCAGTTCTGGCCTTACTCTCCTAGACTTATTCTCCCGACAAGCCTGTCCCGTCCAGGTCCTTACTGGGCAGGAGCTCCGTGCAGTGACCCTTTGCCTCCCAAGAGGGTTCTGGTATCTTCTTTTCACTTTTGAATGGCTTCAGACATCAAGCCCTCAAATGTAGATTTGGTTTTTGGAAATAGACTTTTTGGTGAGGATTGAGAGAACCCATTGAGAGCCTAATCTAGCATTAATCAAAAGGTGTCGGACCAAGGGTATAACTCTGTGGCACAGCACCTGCCTGGCAAGCACAAAGTCCTGCGTTCAATTCCTGGTACAAAAGAAAAGATTGTGAGATACATGTGTTTTGTTGTTGTTGTTTTGTTTTGTTTTGAGAGGAGGTGGCCGGGCAGATGGCTCAGTAGAACAAGCACTTCCCTGGCAAGCGCAAGGGTTTGAGTTCAATCCCTGGTTCCGCAAAGAGAGAGAGAGAGAGAG